AGACTCTGTCTCAAAAAAAAGAGAAAAAGATGTTAGCAACTAAAAGAAGCTCAGAAACTACACATTCTTTAGTGTCTTGGGTCAAACATAACAGATAGCACCGCATGGCCTTCTCTTGAAATCATAAAACCACTTTTTAATTTGTATTAATTATGGACATATTTTCATTGTTAGCCTTTGTCAGAATTTCTGGGCATATAGTTAATTTCGTTATTTACTTCTATATGTAATCTACCGAAAATTTCTCAAGAAGGTGAGAATCCAGCCCTGGCTAACACTCCCGGACCCAACCTCACGATCCTTCTCAAGAAAAATCTTTCCTTAGCCACCGTAGACAAACATTGAATGTCCCGTTCACAGAAGTAGAATGTTCTTTCTTTTAGTCGCTGGGTCCCCACCTTGTTTGTGCCCTTACAATCATTTTCAGAATTGTGTCCCAAGTTGAATGAGCAACTAATCTAGAGAAGAAGTCTTAAAAGAGGGTTGACTGCTGCAGTGAACATTGTTTCAGCTTCAGCCTCTTTGCCCTAGAGTATGACACCCGTGCGAGCGTCGGGTAGGTGGGTATCAGCCAAAGCAAGCCGTGCTTCTAGGTCTGCTCTGCCCTTTTTCCCTTGAAGATGGATTTTCGCTTTTACAGTGCCTTACATCGTACACATACCTGGCCACAAACAAGGTCATGCAGACACAACAGGAAAGCATTGGGAAGGAGCTGGGGCCGGTGGCTTCCCAGGGTGTCCATTAGCAATTATTCTGTGTTGAAAGACCGCTCCTTAGCAAATAAACTTGTTTGACTCAAGCTAAGTGCTGGTTTCAGCGAAATCCCATGAGCTAAAAAAAAACGTTTTATACACAGTCTTTTAAAAGTGTTAATGAGTAGAACAATAAATACTTACAAATCATAAGCAGGGACTTACTCAGCTACTCTAAGAATAGAATGACCATTTTAGTGTTTTGGTTTTTTTTTTTTTTTAACTTTGAGACAGAGTCTCACTTTGTCGGCCCTGAGGTTGAATTCTGTGGTGTCAGCCTAGCTCACAGCAACCTCAAACTCTTGGGCTCAACTGATCCTCCTCTCTCCACTTACTGAGTAGCTGGGACTACAGGCACCTGCCACAATTCCCAGCTAATTTTTCTATTTTTGGTAGTGATGGGGTCATGCTCTTGCTCAGGCTGGTTTTGAACTCCCGAGCTTAAGTGGACCCCCCTGCCTCAGTCTCTCCCAGAGTGGTAGTATCACGGGTGTGAGCCACCGTGCCCCTCCAGAAAAACCATCTCTTAGAAATGTTTTGAATCGAAATGGTATGATAGAGAAATCCAGACTTCTAAAGATAAAGGGTAAAGCCACTACTCATTTTTATTAATTATGGACTGATTTCCTGTAATCCCAGTACTGTGGGAGGCTGAGGAGGGAGAATTGCTTGAGTTCAGGAGTTGGAGTCTTGTCTGAGAGAGAGTGAGACCCTGACTCATTTTAAAACAAACAAACAAACAAAAAAACCAGCCGGGCTCCTCGGCAAGCAGCCTTAATCCCAGCTGCTTCCAGAGCCTGAGGCAGTGGGATGACAGCCCAAGTCTGAGGTTGCAGTGAGCTATGATGCCATTGCACTCTGCCCAGGGCATAGGGTGGGGCTCTGTCTTGACAACAACAACCAAAAAGGCAAGGAAATAAAAAGAAAAAAAAAATACCCTGATAACAGAAATGGAAGGGGAAAGAAATACTTCTTAAGTACCTATAATTAAGGGTTGTACGTTTAAAATTTATTAAACACGAAGCGTCTCTGCCATCTAGAAATTATCAATAATCTGATAATGAAACAGTATTAGTGTTCCCATTATACCCAGCTACGGAGGCCTGCCAGAAGGCCAAGCATTATTGGATTACCACTGAAGCATTAGGGAAATGATCTATCCACATTAAATACGAAGTGGGCGAGTGGGAAGTCATTTTTCATCTTGACCATACTTGAACATTTTCCAGAGAGAGACCAGACAGGAAAGGCAATTTTAGTTCACTTAAATTGCCCAATTCACCAAAGAAAATCGTATCTTCTAAACAAAATGGAAAAATAACAATAACTCCAACCATAAATGATACGTTACTCAGCTGACGAGATAAAGTGTTAATGTTTCCTTAACAACTCTCTTGTACAAGACTTAAGATTGATTCTAAACTAACCAAAGCATTATTTGAATTTCACCACAGAAGATTTATATCTCTTATAATATTTAAACAAATACCAGTTCCCATTTCAACATAAATGCCAATTCTCTGTATTGACTGCCTGTGATCCAGATACAATTAATTTGTGTTTACCTACTTGCTTGGTCACGGCCACGCCAATTTGGGGTAGTCTTGACCAACTGGTGTCATCAGGTTCCCTCTCCCCTCTTCTGTAGAATGAGGAAATTGAGCTTCACCTCTGAGATCCCTTGCAATTATCAAATTCTGTGCCTTTATGTGTGTATTGATTGACTTGCTTTCCCTGGCTGTTGAATTGATGGTTTGTAAAGAGAGCTTTAAAATACTAAGGGAACATTTTTGTTCTTTCCTGAGTTCTTCAGGCATGTTCCTTTTCCCTTATGGCCGGAATGACAGAATTGTGTGAGGATGTTTACTGAACTTGGTTGGTTCATAATCTTAAGTAATAAAAGAATTTCAACCATAACCAAAATCTTATACTGAATGAGTAACAGGAATAAGGACAAATAATTATAAGGAAGTGTTTTCTGTGGTTTTTATAGTTAACTTGCATTTTCAAGGCAGCAAAGAGGATTTGGTTGAAAGTGAAGAGATTGTTCCTCTTTCCACCTTTAAGGACTTTACACCATGATCTTATAAATTCAACAGGAGGGCTTAAGGAACCCCTCCTTCCCTTCTTTCCTTCCTTCCTTCCTTCCGTCTGTCCATCTTGCTCTGTCTCTCTGGCTAGGATGCAGTGGCATCATCATAACTTCCTGCAACCTCAAACTCCTGGGCACAAGCAATCCTCCTGCCTCAGCTTCCCAAATATCTGGGCCTACAGGTGCATGCCAGGATACGGCATTAAATTTTCTATTTTTTATTTTTTTGTAGAGAGGAGATTCTAATTCTTTCTTAGGCTGTTCTTGAACTCCTAGCCTCAACCAATTTGGATCACTGGGACTTAAGGAATTCTTAAGTGGTTATAAGAACACATCAAGTACATCTGTTTTTCTCCTGAAAGTTTACCATGAGCGAGTAGGGAGATCTGGGACAACTTAACTTCTAAGCCTATTTCTTATCTATAAAGATAATACTTTACCTGTACCATGAGAGGATTAGGAAGATTAAATGTCAAGCTTTTTAGCATGATGTCAACTGACGGGAATCACTCTATAATACTGTGATTATAGTCACTACTTTTATAATGTAGAAAAAAGGATATACTATAAATATTACTATCGCCTGCATTCACTTGATAGAATTTTATTTATTTTTAGCATGTTATTGCTTATGTGTACATAAGTAGAAATAGTAATTCTGATGCCTTTTTCTTTTTGCGGGGGGGGGGTCAGTCTCACTACGTCACCCTCGGTAGACTGCTATGGCGTTGCAGCTCACAGCAACTTCAAACTCTTGGAGTTTGAAGAGCTTAAGCGATTCTCTTGCCTCAACCTCCCTAGTAGCTGGGACTACAGGCATCCGCCACAACACCATGCTATTTTTTGGTTGCATTTGTCCTTGTTGTTTAGCTGGCCTGGGCTGGGTTCGAACCCACCAGCCTCGGTGCATGTGGCTGGAGCCATAACCACTGTGGTACAGGTGCCAAGCCTGTAATTCTGAGTCTTAAGTAATTTAATTACATGCCCTTGCAAATTTTAGAGGAGTGCTTTAAAATGTATATGTGTATATATGTCTATATAAAACCACTTTATTTCAATAGAACTATAGAAATAGTTTATCTGTTTTTTGGATATTTTATTTTGTTGTTATTAATGTACATATTACTCAGAAAGTACAATTTTCTTTCACTGTCTGTTAGTGACATTGTTTGTTAGAGAACTGTTTTTTCACTCAATTAGTGTTTGGTCAATGCCTACTATACTGTGTAATTATTTTCCCCCATTAGAAAATTTGATGGGGCAAGACCATAGTCATACAACAAATATTTATTGATTGAGTACCTACTGTATGCCCTGTGTTGTGTTTCTAAGAGAGGAGTTTGCAAATCTCGGTGGAAGTAATTCATTCAACATTTATTTTTAGGTCGATTTCTGGAATTGTTGCTTTATTTGATGGTACTCATCAAGTAGGTCACTTGCATTCATTTAAGCAAGAATGTTGCTTGTGTAAACAATAAGATCTCTGTGAGTCAGCAATATATGTCAGCAGTTAGGGGGAAATAGGGAGCAATTTTCAAATAGTATTCTTCAGGTCACCACGTTTTTCTCTGGGTATTAAGTCTTATAACTTAACTTTGAGCCTGTTCCCTACATGGCTTTCTCAGGAAGTATGCGCAGATGTTTAAATATTAAATGATTTACAAGGCCTCTATTGCTGTCTACAGAATCACAGTTCTGTAGAAGCTTGCTAATATTATTTCTGTATTTTGCTAATAGAGCTCTGTACATCCTACTTTGTAGATATTCTACTTTATGTTGCTTATACATTTCCGACTAAAAGTTTCAACAAAGCAAAGAATAAAAAAGCAGTTTTCTTCATGAAAAGATTACTTTTTATACCTCAATGCTATGGTGTTGATGTTTTTAGTTATAGAACTTGAAAATAAAATATTTCTACCCTGACGTGATCCTTAGTGTGTCACTTAAACTGCTGGATGACGCGATCTGTCAAGGGAGCTTTCCGCAGGCCAGTGTTGCCAAGTCACCAGGGCGGGACGCTTCAGGGAAGGGAGCTCCTGCCCAAGAAAATGTTTTCAGTGTTCACAAAGAGGGAAACTGCTAAACTGTTTCCCAGTGAGGACGCATAAATCGGTCACAAATTTCTATTTCACAAGATTTTGTCTGTTTGCTTATAGGAAAAAATCGTTCCTGTTTTCTGCTCTGTACGCTGCCTTTATATTTGGTGGTCGACACCTAATGAACAAACGGGCCAAGTTTGAACTGAGGAAGCCGCTCGTGCTCTGGTCTCTGACACTCGCAGTCTTCAGGTCAGTTTTTTTGTTGTTGTTGTTGTGTTTTCATTTTCTAGTAAAATGCTTCTATTTCTTTAGACTTGCTGAAAGAAAACCAATACTTGAACATTGAGTATTTCTCGTCACTTTTGATTTTTGAACACAGTGAAGCCACATTCAGAGAGAAATGTGTTGCAACCACATTCGCCACTGTATCCTCAGTCTTGTATTGAGAGCTACCAGGCCATGTCCTTTCCTGTCCAAATAGATCATGCCGTAATCTGATTCCTGTGTTAGGATAGACTCAGTACATCATTTCCATTATTTTTGACACTTAAATATAAGTTCAGCACACAGGTAAGTTGAAGTCTGTTGGAGAGAGAGCAGGGTTCTAATGTCATGGGCGTGCTGTTACTGAATAATCAAAGCTGGCCCTTAGACATTATGACTGGACATCTGTCTGTGTCACATCCCTAGACCAGAGAATGTTTCTTGTTCATCCTCAAAAGTACCTTCCACCTCCGTTTCTTGGACTGACTTGCAGGCGTGCGTTTATAGGCAGTACTCACTTGGTATCCAGCAGAACTCAGCATAGAGGCTGTCAGGACAAGGCGTGGTCTCTCCGGGGCATCTGTCATCCAACCTGCAGGTGTATTCCTCCAGAAGCTTTCAGGAGCATTTCCAGTCTTGTATTATTTGGTGATCTAGGGAATCACTAGACTAATTAGCACACAGCTGGTGTCCAGTCAGGTGCCAGAATTTACCGAGAGCTCTGACAAGGGCATCTGTGCTATTTGTGCTTTGCTTGTCAACCAGCAAGTTTATAACTAGGCTTGAGGAGTAGGGGACGCAGATGGAGATACACTCCAAGACACAGAAGTATTTTAATATTTTTGTAATTTTCATTCCTTTGTATTTTTTATATAACTATTTTGCCTTTAAGCAGAAACGTTATCTTTAAAGCTTCTTTAGTCACTTAAAGCTTATTAAAAAGACCAAGCAGGAAGAGGATTTTTTTTGTTAAACTCCCAAGATCTGTACTTTTCCATTATGTTGAAACCCTGCATCAAAAACAACCATTTGCTCACTGCTACTCAGGATACGTTTTATTTCACTGCATTTTTTTCATGATACAAACATACATTTGATACTAAAAGCTGATTAAAAAAAATAGGAATATTAGATGTGAAAATTGTAAATAAAACATTGGCAAAAGAATGCCACAGTCCATACAAAACATGCTATGGAAACAAGAGTTAAAATTATCAATATAACTGATCACATCACTGTGTTAAAGGAGTGGAACCATGTGATCATCTCCATAGATACTGAAAACAATACTAAGAAGATAGAAGTGGCTGGAAATCTGCTTCAGTGCCTTTGGTAGGGCACTAGGCTCTAAGTACTCGTGGTTTGGACCTGTCACTAAAATCTTCAATTTGTATCAGGACATGATTCATACATAATACGTGTATGACGTTTTTATTCATTTGTATCCACATTTAAGGTTGACAGCGTATGCCTCACTTAAAATGTTTTGATATGGGGGAGGAATTAGCTCTCTCCTAAGAAAACCTTTCCTCGTTATACTGATTATTCAATGTTCCCTGAACCTTTATCTTTCATAATATTAAACTTAAACACACAGCAACAGAGAAGAGCACAGTGACTCCCCTGGGCCTACCGTGACCTGGCTTTAAACAATTATCAGCACTTGGCAAATCTTGCTGCTTCTATGTCCCGAACTTCTCCCTCACCCCCAAATTATTTAGAAATAATATAGGCCAACATAATTAAGACTGACATGATACCATTTGTGTAAAGGACTCCTTTTTCAAAAAGTGAACACAGTATGATGTCATCGAAATTAATAATAATCCTATCTCAATAAATTTCCCATTGCCACAGTTGTCTCATAAATGATTTCTTTTTTAAAGTTTATTCTTAAGAACCTGAACCAATTTCCATTAATTGGTTTCTTATAATTTAGAGGTTTCTTCCTTATTCTCTTTCTTCTTTTTTCCCCCTTATGATGTGTCCTTTGAAGAAACCAGGTGGTTTCCATACCATTTCTTCCAAACTGGATTTTGGTTGATGAATTTTTCTTGTCCCCTCTTTTTCCTATTAGTTGTAACTAGATCTAGAAGGTTGATTTATACTCAGGTCCAGTGTATGATCAGACTTTCTATAAGAAGAAACTTGCCTTTATCAACTATTTATTTATCTTGACATAGATAGTTATTATAGCAAAGGCAGGATCAAATGCTTTCTTTTTTGCCTGTATTTGCGGTCTAAGAAAAAATTAATTATCTAGCATGTGAATAATATTTATTTTCTTAGGTGTTTTTATGCACTCATGGATTTACACTTTTCAGTGTGTTAGTGATGTTGAGGTTTATTTGATTCTGATGTGTTTTAGTCCATTGCTATTCTTTTTGATGCTGATAGTTTGATGACACTTTGATTTTTTTTTTTTTTTTAAAGTTACAAGTTGTTCCAGACCAGGCATGTTGCATATCCCTTGTCCAGAACTAAAATTAGCCATTTCTTCAAATAGCCTTAGTTTCTCTGGTGGAAAGGAGATAATATTTAGAAACCACTCTATGGATACCAAAGGTTGGGGATAAGTTAGTTCTTACTTCTCAGTCTTTTCAAAAGCCAGAAATGGAAATTTATTTATTTATTCTTTTAAAGAAATAGATTCCGAGTTATACGGGTATTTCTCATTCATATTTAGGACTACAGAGTTTTGACTTAACTTTTATTTATCCCTTTTCAGGCCCAAACCCAACTTCCATTGTTGGCCAGCAATGACCCATTTACTTTATCCTACAATGCACATTTATAGTCATTAGCAAACACTTTATCTTTTTTAAGGCTGACAAGTCCTTGTTTTCCTTAATTCTATTAGTTACTTTAGTTTTTTTAGAGGCACATTTTGTAGAAAACTTAAAGAGCCAGTACTACATAGAAGAGTCCAAGCATAGGCAGTCTAGAGTTTTATACACACAAAAACTAATCTTAAT